ATATATATATATATATATATATTTATATTAAGTACCGATACTTACAGGAAACTGGGCGGAGTTGGACTTCGATCCTGCCTGTCCATTCTTCTATCAGGACTTCGATCCTTGTTGCTGTTTCTCCTTCTTCTGTTTCTAGTATTATGATTGTTATTGCGACTGTTACGTCTGTGATTAGCAGCAGGTGATCTAGATCTGCTTCTACCTCTAGATCTTGAGCGTGATCTACTTCGAGATTTACTTCGATATCGTTTCTTTGGTGGACTAGGACTCTTGGATCTTGGCCTTAGAATTGGCGATGGCGATTTTGATTTTTGTCTTATACCAGCTGCTATATCTTCTTCTTTACGCTTACGCGCGGCATTTTTTGCTTTATAGTACTCGTATAAACCTAATTTTTCCCACCCATCGCTATAACATACAGACACATATTACGATCAAAAATTTTATTTCACATTTATCGTACGTTAAATTTAACTAATTTATATATGTGTGCTCTACCTGTCCCGCGGAGAATCGTGGTTTGGTGGTGCATAGAACGCTTCTACAGCCGCTACTAATCGTTCACTCGGAGGAGCAGGCGGTGGAAGTCTAATGGCTTCTGGATCCAAAGGTTTATATTCAGCATCTTCCAACTTGATCAGAGGTACCATCAAACCAGCAGGAAGTTCGTAATAAGGCATACTGGGCATTAAATCCTCAACAGAAGGCTCGTGTATAACAGGTGGTGGACCAAATCCAGGCGGAGGTTTTGAAAAATCTGGCAATGGAACATTTGAAAATGGTGGTGGTTCGTTTCCAGGTGGTACACCCCATCCAGGTGGCGGCTGACTGAAATTTACGTCTGTGCTTATCGGGGCAGGAGGACCGGAATGACTAGGTGGCATAGACATGTTTTGTTGATTCTGTAAAATATGAATTTTAATTAGTATTTGTAAAAAAAATATATATATATACATGTGTGTGTGCGCAATATAAAAATGAAAAGATCAGCTTACCAATTGCGGCGGTGGCGGAGGGGGAGCTTTCAATTGTTGATCAATTGCAATCTTTTGTTGTTCGATATTTTGAATTTGTCTCAAAGCATGCGTAACAAATGCTTGATGTTGTGCTTGATAATTATCAAAGGTTTGTTTCGTTGACGTGGTGATCGGTGTAATTGCGCTGGCATGCTGTGCAACTAGGTTAGCCTGATATTCAGACCAAGATGTACTTGGTTGTTTCAATTTATCTATAATTCCTTCATCAAAGTAATTATTTTTTGACTCCCATAAACTTAATAGTTTATTTAATTTATTAAGTTGTTCTTCTGATGCAGCTAATGAAGTGTTACAGAACATGGGAACAACAACACTTTCCATTGCCTTGCGAAGATCCATAGATTTTTTTCTTGCACTAAAGAAGTTTAAAATTAAATATCGTGCACAACTATTTTTATAGAAGTTATCAAACTTTATTATAAATATTATTTATACTGAAATTGAAGTGTTAAATCTTCCATTTATATTTCATCGAATAATATAGTTTAATTCAAACTTCAATTTTTATAAATATTTTAAGCTATAAGATCTGTAACTGTTCTTCTTTTTTTTTTAAATAAATTACTTACCAATGATGTAAGACATCATTGACCAGGTAAATAATATGGAGTTTATGACTAAAATTTGTTGCCTGAATGACCCTAAAAGGAACAATGAAAAATCAATGATTTATTAATATTGCAGCATATAATAAATAAAGTCAAGTATAACGTACTTCTTCAGCAAATGATCCGCAACAACTTGATTACTTTGCGGAGTAACCGAATTTTGAAGTATCCAGGCTTTCCCTGCACTTATGCTATCTTTTGTGCAGCTATCAATGATAGGCTGTAATACTGCATCAAAAGCAGCAAGATCTGTGTTTGTGCCCTGTGCACTATTTTGTAAAGCTGTTTCTTGAGCTTGTCTCACAGCATCCTCAACCCTTCCTTGCTGTTGTGCCATCAATGCAGCATGTTGCGCAGCCAAATTTTGCTCTGATTGTCTGATTTGTTCCTGTAGCGTTGTTTGCTGTGACTGAAGGTTTGCTAATTCATTTTGAAGCCATCCAGGAGGTCCTCCAATGTTAACCGATTGAGTAACAGCACCAATAGATGGATTCACACCACCCATAGCACTAGGGACTGGTCCAATTGGTGGTCCTGCATTTCCTGGTCCTCCAATTTGTCCTGGTACTCCAGCTATAACCGGACCACCTTGATTTCCCACTGGTCCAATTCCCACAACTGGATTTAATCCATTGTTTTGAGTATTTAGGCCAGGTGTAAGATTGACGTTATTCAGTGGCTGCGCGACCGTAACGGCTGTTTGCTGCTGCTGCGAAACGTTTAAACGTGGGTCTGCATTTTGCATTGGATTTATTCCTTTTTGCTTTAAAACTGTAAACGAATGACGGTGGATTATTGTAAGATGTTTGATTCCTTCAATGGATATTGAAAAAGTATACAAATAGTCCAATTTCTGTTGAGTCTTATCTTCTACCAGTGCATAATAAAATTCTTGGCATTTATGAGAGAATTATATCAAAAATTCGGTAAGTCTTTTGGGAGCACTATATTCTTTTCCCTGTTTATTATATTATATATACATGTATTTATTTTTATTTTATTTTTTTTTTACAGTACTAGGGTATTACAGGGTATTATAGTGAGTTTTAGTTCCCACATAGATTGAAGCAATATATCAACAATGTAGTCCGTATTAGATAAGCTCCATTAAGAATCTTAAAACTACATCTTCTTAAAATCACCATTGCCAAGAAATACAATATGTCTTTAGCTAAAGCATTCTGCTTAATAAATAGCAATCCCAAAATCTTGAAACGAAGTGCTCATATTCGATGAATAATAGTTTTGTATGTTCACTATGCGAATTCAGACCCTTTCACCCGTATCTCATTTTTTTCAAAGTCATTCCTTGTTCGTTGAATAAAGCATGGCCATTATGCTTCTCAATTGTTGTAGCTGTTAAGGGGCTGTATCCCACTTACTGGCTTGCTCTGTAGTCACTTTGTACTGATAGTAGTTGAAGTGCTCTCCACCGAACAGGAAACCAAATTTTGGATTGTCCTTCTGCTTGTTTTTCGTCATCTGCTCAAACTCTGGTCCGTTGCGAGCCACAAATTGTGCCAGTTTGTCTATGATGTTCCGTAACTCTGTATCTGGGTATTATATCAAAAATGACCAGAATTAGTAGACATCCTAACAATGATGAATTACTTATACACTGATTAGAATATAAAAGGCAATATTTAAATACAGTACTGAAATAGGATCTCTTTTTTTTTATTTTTTATTTTTTTTTTAAGTAAGTACGCAGTCTTAAATCAGCCCATCGTAACCTGAAATATTGAATCTGCTTTGAAACTTATCGCTCTATTAATGTATCTACGGGGATTTGCCTGAAGATAATTTAATTCGTCGAGTGAATTGCTTTTAATGGTAGCCTAATACGTCGCACAGGTTTACATAACCTACTATTTAAAATCTACACGTTGTCTGTTTTTTTTTTTTTTTTTTTTTTAACGTATCGCATTAGTTCCATTGCACACAAATCCTCAATTCTGACTAACTAAAATGCTAAAACGATAGATCACAGACATTACAGTTAATAAAGAAGATGGAACGTTAATATGCTCGCCCCGGAGTGGGAATGTGCGAAACCGCGCTTGGCCAAATCGCCAAATCACATTTTTCTCTTACCTGCAGGTGCCTGGTCCATTATCGCGACTACTCTTTTACTTTAACACTGAATTCGATCACGTTTATCGTTACTTTTGTTAACACTTTTCCGTACACGATCGTGATACGGATCCGGAAAACATTATTTTCTCACACTGGACACGACAACGCTAGACGTCGCCATTAATTCTCGAGTATCCGTGTTTCGAGGAACCACCACCAGAGTCACCACTGGCTACTGACACGCCAATTTATTACACGCGGAAATTCCTCCATTTCGACTCAATTTCAGTTACGTTTCGTAGGATTTGCTTTTCTGTTAGTTTTCCGCAGTGATTGTGTTTCTACTTCTGCGCGATAACCTTGAATAGTAAGTATTTACACTAACATGTTTCTGACAAACTATCAACTCTCTATTTGTACATCATTTTTACAATTTTGTAACGTAAACGTGTTCTAACAATGTTCTCTGTATAAAACAATATCCTCTGTACAAAATACAATATTTCAGATTCTCTTTATGTGACATTTACGTTGTTAAAACTTGATCGTTTCTTATATATTGTGATTAAATAGATATATCAGTGTTGTTTTATTTATTTACTACTTAACCTATTGCGTCACTTCTGTCACATATTTAAAGTTCACTTTTCTATATTTCACCATTTATTATTGAGTAATATGTGATAATACTATCAATAGTAATTTTTGCCTCTGTTAGCTAAATTACAGGTATGCCTGTAGCAGAAGTAAAATCCAGCTGGGCAGATGAGGTGGAAGAAGAAGGAGGAGCGTTACCTCCACCTTCAGAAATCTATGAAAATGGGTTCAAAGTTCTCACCGAATATAAGTACAATCAGGATAACAAAAAAGTCAAAGTGGTTCGTACGTATAAAATTGAGAGACGTGTAGTTTCAAAGACAATTGCTGCCCGTAAGAATTTGGCCAAATTTGGAGACTCTGCGGATGACCGACCTGGACCCAATCCTGCTACTACGGTTGGTGGTGAAGATGTCTTTATGCAATTCATTTCTAGTAAAGAAGAAGAAAATAAGGTTGAAGAAGATACCCTTGACAAATTGAAGAATATGGGAGATAAAGGTGTAGTTAAATGTCGTAATTGTAATGGAGATCATTGGACCTCCAAATGTCCTTACAAAGACACTGTTCTTGCTGGGGGTACGTTCCTCTTTTATAAATAAATTTCTAAAATTTGTAAAGATATCAAAAATTTTAGAATTAAAAATGATACACGATTTAACTTGCAGGTAAAGTGCCAGATGATAAAAAACCACTTATTAATACTGGTACTTCTGGAACAATGACAGAGTTAAAACCTCAGGGTAGTAAATACATACCACCTGGTATGCGCGACGGAGGTAGCAAACGAGGAGATTCTATGCAGATGCAAAGACGCGACGATACTACCGCTATTCGTATTTCCAATTTGTCAGAAAGTACTACAGATGCAGATTTGGATGAACTTGTCAAGCCATTTGGATCTGTCCTCAAGTTCTATCTTGCCAAGGACAAACAAACTAATCTCTGCAAAGGATTTGCATATGTACATTTCAAATATAGAGTGGAAGCAGCAAAAGCTATTGCCACACTTAATGGATATGGTTATGATCATCTTATTTTGAATGTAGATTGGTCGAAACCACAACAGCAAAATAATTAAGAGTATTAATATAAAATTCAATTCCCGTTACCTAGATTTCCCAGCGTGTAAAAATATAGGAAATATGCAAATGTTTAATTGTGACACCAGGAACAGAATGCAAGTTTTATTTCAGATTTTAATGTCTTGTATGACAAAAATTAGCACAGCAAACACGTTAATTTTTTGTATTATATTCGACCAATGATAAAATAATAAGTCTGGTTTCTGATGTCACAATTTACTGCCATTTTTAATTCATTCAAACAAAAATCATGCATTCACTAATGTAAAAAATGATGTATCTATTAAGATATAATTTGTATTTATTACATTCTAGCATTTTTTTGATCAAAAATAAATAATATGCCATAAAACATTGTGTTTTTTGATTGAATGTTAAAAGTTACTCCAATATTTTAGAATTTTATTCAAGAATTGTATAATAGATTAAGAAAATGTATACATTTTTTTTTTACATGTAAAAAGAGATTCATATTTAATTCAATTGTCAAATTCAAGATGAAAAATCTTTTCTTCAATACTTTTTATATTAAAATTTTTTTCAATGCTTTTTATATTAAAATTTTATACTCAACAAATACACTGAATACATTTATCTGTCTAAACTTAAAATAGTACAGTATTGTAATAAATATGAGTAGTATCGCTGATTCTAAGTGTTAGATTCTCAGGCGGTACTGTTGCAATTGGAAAAGAGAAAAACAAAGAAAGAAATTATGATACGAATTAACGCTTATGTGATACGTACATTGATGCAAAAACAAAAGTAAAACAGTACAAAAGTAGTTACACAGATGTTTGTCACCTGTATGTTAAAAACTACAATTAATACTACATTGTCTAAGTACTTCGAAATGGTAACTCTAATCAACAACCTTCTGCTGCTCAACGGAGCCTAACGAATATCATACAGATAGCAAAAAACACATATTAACTTTTCCGTTTAATATATATAAATATATATAAATATATATATATATTTGTTTTACCAATAAATTTTAATTTACCAGTAAAAAC